CAACTCATTTGCGGATGGGTTGGCCAAGCAAGGAGTGAATAGGGAGGCTGTTTTCTGGGTTAGTTTTTAATTTTCTTTGCTTTCCCTGAGTTTTCTGTTTTTGGGGAGCTAAGTTATTTTATCTCCCTTTGTATTCCTTTCCCTCTATTCTCTTAATTTAATGAAATTGATGTTATTGATCAAAAAAAAAAGAAAAACAGTCTAGATACAGCTACTACAGGAGTTACATTACTCCTTGTGCACACAGGTAAACAGGAAACATACCAATTAGGTCACCCCTACTGCATCGGATTGTTACCACCTGTTCTCCTTGGTGTTACGATCAAGGGAGAACACAAAAGACCAGAAAGAGACACTTATCTGATCAGCCGATTAGAGTTCTTCTCTACTCTAAAGTCAAAGAATAGAATTCTGGGAGAAAAACACAGATCTGAATGCTCTTAGTACCCTACTATCAACTCTGTTACCATGTTTTCATTCAAGACTTGATCGAACAGTGAATCAAAAAAGAAGAGAGGAGAAAGGGTAAAGAGGAGAAGGGAAAACAGATTTTAGAATGCCAAAATTCTGGGCTGGCAGCGCCCCAATCTCTATTTATACTAGGCTGATAAAAATAAAAGCATTACAATTACAGATTTGTCCCTAGCGGCCAACACTATTAAAAGAACATTCTAAGAGCACTGTTGCTCTGTTAACAGGCTGACAACAGGCTTGATTGGCCATCATTTGATTCTGAGGCAGTGAGATGGATGGAGGAGAATTTTGGAGAGGGGGAAATAAGGAGGCCCTCTTCTCAATGGATAGATCTAAGGCACTAGGAGCAGATGGATTTATTGTGGCCTTCTACCAGAATTGCTGTTATCTGAAGGGTGAATTTTCAGATAAACATTTTATCAACCTAGGGATTAATGCAACTTTCCTAGCTCTTATTCCATAAAATTCAAATAGTAGCCACCCTAAAGACTTTAGGCTTATTGTTTGGTTATTAGCATCTACAAGGTGATAGCCAAGGTCCTATCCCAAAGGGTTGAAGTTCTCCCTTCCATCATCAATCAATATCAAGGGGCTTCATCCAATAGAGATTGATAATTGTTCAAATTTTCATTACTAATGAATGTGTGGAGGAGATGAGAAGGTCAAGATGCAAGGGCTTTGTGTGTAAGTTGGACCTAGAGAAAGCCTATGATTTGGTGGACTGGACCTTCCTAATTGAGGTAATGAAAAATTGTCGCTTTGGGGAGAGATGATGTAATTGGGTGGGTGGATGTTTATAAACTTCCCATTATTCCATATTGGTCAATGAAGTGGTAAATGACTTCTTTCCAGTTTGTTGTTGACTTTTTCTTTCACATCCCATTTTATTTGAATTACGGCCAGATTCTTTTCTTTATGAATATATCATATGATTTTTCTTGCTGCACATTTCCATGGTTAAGAACTTAATATTTATGGTCAAACCCCTCATATATTTTTATATATGGAGATAGTGATTCCACTAATGTTAAAGTAGCTGAGATAAACTAGTGGTTCCACTAATGTAGAAGTAGCTGACATATATTCATAGTGATTCCACTAGTGAATATATATGCTTGCTCAATTAGGAAGCAAAGTTTCAATTTGATGGAAGCTCTTCTATAAATCCCGGTCCAGTTATCCAAGATATCCCTTGGTGGATCCTTTTTGGACTTTGTGTGTTTGTATATTTGTTTATATAAACTAACCTTTGCCTTTTTTTTTTCTTGATCAATAAGCCTTTGCCTATAAAAAAAGACATTCGCTGTAGTCTGTCTGGATTTGTTCATGTCCATGATTTAAATGTTAAACGTTACTGACTGTTCTGTAATTTATGACATCTTGACATGTCTGTCAAATCTGCAGGATAATTATGTTTATTGAAGTCATATGTGCTGGATCTTTTATGAGCATCTACATTGGTGAGTTTAAAGTCTGGGTAATCTGAAGTTGTGAAACGCATTACTATGACCATTTAAAATTGTTTCTTTGAGTTAGGTGAAATGCTCTCTCTTTCTGTGGTTGTTACTTGTTTTTCCATGAAAGGACCACATGCACTGGCAATTATCTTTATTCTCCAGCTGTATTGTGGAGTAGATTCCAATAAAAAAAAGGTTAATGGATAGGGTGGCACTACAATGGAGAAGAATGTATTCTTGATCCATTTATGCAGGCTAAAAATAGTTTCTGATTAATACAAGTCAATGCCAATATACATTTCTCACAGGGCTGAATCTGATTATCTAGAATTTAAAATGAGTAATTTATTTCTGAGAAGAGGAAGTAACTTTAGAGTTAGAAAAGGAGCACAAAATTGCCCAGAATTTTTGTCAGTTCTACAATGTTGTCAATAATCCAAGTGGGTGTTGAATATTCAGATCAACTCAACTAAACCTTGTCCCATTGGACTCTGTTCTACAATGTTCTTGGCTACATGTATCCTGTTCTACCATTGCACTCAGTTTAGTGCCAAATCTAATGTTAAACTATGGTCCCTTAAGTTGTTTCTCATTTCAATCCATGTCCATCTTGGTTTGCCGGCCCCTAGTTCATCTAGACTGTTCAACTTGCAACAGATTACTTATTCTCACTGGTGCTGTAGATGGTCTTCTTTGCTCGCGACCAAACCTTCTTAATCCAGTTTCCTCATTTTACCACATATTAGAGCTACTCCTAGGTTCTTTCAAATAAGTTCATTTATTATCCTATCTTTTCGTGCTTCTCACTCTTCCATCTCAATATTTGCATTTATGCCACTCATTTTTTGGACATGTTGTTTCTTGACTGTTCAACACTATGCTCCATATAGGGATTAAGGAGTGCCCAACCTCTTTAATTTGTAAAGAAAATAAGATACAAATTGAGAGGTAGCTATTCCCATTTTGGGGAGTCACATCTTCAATAAACTAGTTTTTTTCCATTCATTCATCTCAACAGTTGCATTCCTGCCATACTCATTTTTGGGACGTGTTTCTTGACTGCCCAACACTCTACTCCATACAAGGAGTGCCCTATCCCTTTAATCAATGACAAGCAAAATAGAATATGAATTTAGAGACAATGATTCTCAGTTTGGAGAGCACATCTCTACTAAGCTATGCAGATCTGAAGGGCCATTAGCCTCCAATTCAAGGATGACTGAATTAGGGGTGGACACGAATCGAGCTTTTCACGATCTATTCTAGCTTGACTCATGAAAAGCTTGATTTGGCTCGGTCTAAATTGAGCTTCAAGCTGAGCTCGATCCCTATAAAGCTCAACTTGTGAGGCTCATGAGCCTATATATAATATACATATAAATAATAATATAGAAATAAAAAATAAAATATTATATATAATACTTTTATTTTTTATATGTGTAATAATAATTAGTTTTTATAATTCTTAATTTTTTACATGTAAAATAAAAAATGAAATATAAACTTTTATATGTATGGTATTTTATTTTTATAGGAAGATTGGCTCATAGTCAAGCTAGAACTGACGAGCTTTTGAGTCAAGCCGAAGTCGAGCTCAAGTTTCTAGCTCAAATTGAGCTCGAGCCTCATAGTTCTTTGGTGATCCAAGCTCGAATAGCCAGATATTAGGCTCAACTTGGCTCGAATCCACCCCTAGACTAAATGACAGAAATCCAAGAGAACTAGTAGTAAGTAGTTCACTTTTCAAATCAGTCTTTGCTATATGGAAACCAAGATTCTTTGAGTATGGAGCAGATATATGAACTTGATGATGCTATTTTTATGAAGAGAGTGGGTGTGCTAGTCAGGTCACTTGGTGAGATTTTGTAAATGACATAGGAATCTTCATCTGTAAAATTAATCCTCATCTTATCCTCTGTTCATGGAAAAAAGTTTTGGCTCAAAGATCTTGTGACACGTGCAATGTAAAGCCTTCTCTTGTTGATAAATTTTATATTAAAGAATTAAACCTCTGAACAGATAATATTAGTTATAAAAATATAAGGTGGGGTGTGAGACTAATGTGAAGTTGTGAACTGTGAGCATGAACATGCCCAATAAAATTGAGACCCTATCTGAGGGATGGTCTGGATCGGCAACACGATTCCTCCATGTTGCACAAACAGGTTGGTTTCTGTATGAAAGGTAGTACTGGGTTATTTTGAGACCTTTTTTCATTTTTAAATATTAAGTATGATTCTTTGCCTTGCTGGTTTCAAGCATTCTATTTAAATTCTTTGGCCTTCTTCTCTTCTTGGTTTAGACTTCATTTAGTTAATATCACAGTTTCAGTTTTTGTTAGTTTTTTTTTTTAATGAGTAAAATGATTGTATATTAATAGTCACAAAAAATAACAATACAAGCATCCCATAGAGAGGCATGAGATGTTACCTCTCACTCAAACATCAGAATACAGAAATCAATTACAATTGAGCCCAATACAAGCTGTCCTTGTTTACCCCTTGTTTAGCTAACCCATCTGCTATAGCATTAAGCCGTTCTCCTAACCCAAGTTATTCTCATGTTCAGGTTCCTAGTTAGTCATTTAAATTTTTTCATCTCATCCCTATAACACAAAATTATCAACTCTGGATCTTTCAACCTGCAACTAGAGTTATTCTCATGTTTTTGTTAGTTTTTCAAATTGGTTATTTTTCCAGTAGGTGCAAATTGGTTCTTAATTCAAGATTAGGCTGAATTACAAAAGACAGTATTGTCCCTCATTAAGGATGGGACACATAACTTAAACTTGAATAAAACAGACTATTCACTCTCTCAATTAGATAGACAAAGGATCAAAATACCCTTGTACTGTCGACTCTAACAACCTATTTGGGGCTTCCTTTAGAGGCAAACCCTCAGGAGAGTAGCTTTTGGTGCCCAATTGTAGAAAAAATTAATAAGAGAATGGCTTTGTGAAAAAAGAATTACATTTCATTGGGGGGTAGAATCACTTTGATAAGAGCTACACTTGCTAATCTAGCAACCTACTTCTTGATTGTCTTTAGGATCCCAACTAGGCAAGCCAAGAAGCTGGAAAAGTTAATGAGAAACTTTTCTTTGGGAATGGGGAAAGTAGAAAAGATCACTTAATTAAGTGGGAGGTGGTATGTCGGAGTAAAGAGGAAGGGAGCCTAGGCTTAGGGAATATAATTCAAAAGAATACAACTTTGTTGGGGAAGTGGCTGTGGCATGGCCCCTAGAGAGAGAGAGAGGTTGTGGCATGAGGTCGTAAGAAGCATTCATGGTCACTTAGAGAATGGATGGGATATTGGTGTATTATGGTGGGCAAATCTAGCAACACCTTGGAAGGCAATTCCTAGTATTCTTCTTTAGTTTCTCAGCTTTGTCAAGTATGACGTGTGTGATGGAAACTCTGTCCTCTTTTGGGAGGATATTTGGGTTGGAGATGTTCCCTTGAAGGACCTTTTCCCTTATTCTCTATTTCTCAGTATAAAAAAGTGTTTGTTTCAAAATTTTCTCCCTGCTGGAAACTCCTTGGGCACCAAAATGGGGTTTCAGGTTTTGTAGAGGTTTAAGGGGTGAAGAGATTGAGTGTTTATCTAATTTGTTGAGCCTTCTTGATGAAGTCTGTTTAGCTCCCTCTTAACCATACGAATGCTTTTTTTTTTTGAGAAGAGATAAGGTATCATTTCATAAGAGCAAAAAACAAGTACAACCAGCAGTTGTACTTGGTGCAGGCCTATTTCCCCTAAGGTTATTGCTTTCTGTTGGGAAGTGTATTATGGGAAAGTAAACACCTTGGATGATCTACAAAAAGAGAAGACCTTCCTTTGTATTTCACCTAACTGGTGTACCTTTGCAAGTCTCAAGCTGAGGATTGTTACCATTTACTAACTTCCTGTTCCTTTACTACAGAGTTATGGGATTGGCTTTTCATTATGTTTGGGTGCAGGTGGAATGTGCCAGCACAAATAAGCATGTTATTTGATCCTTCTACCTTTGGTTGGTAATAAAGAAGAGGTAGAATCATGTGGAAGTTGTTCCTTTAATGATATTTGGAGGAATTGGCCAGCAGTAGCAAGTTGTTCCTCTTTCAAGGTTAGAGTAAGCACAACCTGGGCACCCCCTACTGAAGGTTTCTTGAAGCTGAATTTTGATGGAAGCAGTCAATGTAACCCAGGCCCTTCTGTGATGGGAGGGGTCATGAGGAATGAGGCTGGAAATGTGGTAATCTTCTTTTTGGGTCCTTTAGAAATTGGAGACTCTACTAGAGCGGAATTATTAGCTGCCCTGCAAGGTGTACAGTTTGCATATCGGCTAGGTGTGGAACAGCTAATAGTTGAAGGGGACTCCAAGGTGGCACTGATCTGGCTGACAAGGAATTTGTGTGTGAGAGTACAATGGGTGGGGAGATCTGCTAATGCTTTGGCTGATTGTCTAGCAAAGCAAGGGGCATCTAGGGAACTGTTGTATTGAGCAAAATTGTAGTTTGATTTTGTTCTCTGCTTTGTTGGGAGAGGACACAGCTCGCACCTCTCCAAGGGATGCTTGTATTAGCTTATTTTTTTATCTAATAAAAGGATTTATTTATCAAAAAAATATTAGTTGTGGAATAAAGAATGGGTTATATACAACAGATTTCTAAACAATCATTGAGAAATAGCTCCCCAAAGAAACTGGTTTCTGTTTAGCCCTTGTTTGGACATTCCATCAGTCAAGTTGTTTCTTGATCTTTGGATCCATTTGAATGTGGTTCTGAATTCCCCATCCAAGTATTTAATTTCTATCATAATATGTTGATATTGCCATGATATTACTGTTCTTTAACCACCTCACTATTACCTGAGAGTCCCATTCCACCTCTATATTTCTGAGATCCACCCAGCCTCAGCCCATATAGGACTGTTATCAACTTTGCTCTAATTGAGTCTCCAATGCCTATGGGTCCCGAGAAGATGGCTAGAATGATCCCATAACTGCTGAACACCCAATACCAGAATTGCCAGGGTTATCAATATTATATCCATCAAAATTTAATTTGATTTTATTGGAGGCTGGTGGACACCAATTCAGTGAGGCAATGGTTCTAGCTGAAGATGAATGTACCACACACTGCCACCCTCTAATAATGTATCTACTAAAAGGGAGCAAAAACATCATAGTTTGTTTAACCAATGCACCACTTAACCAAATTATTTTCAAGTGGTTTGTGGTGTAATAGTTGATAGTGTAATGAAGTTATATGATTCATCAAATCGTGTTACACAGGTGTAGAATCAATATCTTGTTGCATTATGTCAGAGAAAGGCTGGTGGGCACCAATTCAGTGAGGCAATGGTTCTAGCTGAAGATGAATGTACCACACACTGCCACCCTCTAATGATGTATCTACTAAAAAGGGAGCAAAACATCATAGTTTGTTTAACCAAGCACCACTTAACCAAAATATTTTCAAGTGATTGATGGTGTAATGGTTGATAGTGTAATGAAGTTATATGATTCATCAAATCTTGTTGCAGTATGTCAGTGATGCACAGGGTTATCAGTATGTCAGAGAATCAATATTGTGTTACACAGTAGACCAAGCTGCTTTGCTTCTTAAAACCCTTGACCCAGTTTGTTTAGAACACTCCAAACCAGATGCTAGAATTTGGACTCCCAACTCTTTTGGGTATCTTTTTGTGCTCTTCCTTCTTTACCCAGTTGTGTACCCCCCTAACCCTCAATCTTTCTTTTGCAAAGAAATTTGGTCTAAACCCATCCCCCCCCCCCACACACACACACAAAAGAAAAAAGTGGGAGCTCTTTGCTGGGAAGTTTCTCTTGGGAAAATAAACACCTTGGACATCCTACAAAAGAAAAGATCCAACCTTCGTATTTCCCCAAATTGGTGTATCACTGTATCCTTTGTAAAGCTAATGGAGAAAGCTGCTACCGCATGCTAATCACTTGCCCTTATGTTGTGAAACTTTGGGGGAGAAGATTTTTGGTCTTTTTGGTTGCAGGTGGACCGTTGCCCTTGCAAATTGGGGTCTCTTTGACCATACAAGCTTTCAGTGGCCTAAGAGTAGAGGGAGAGTTTTGTGGAGATGTGTTAGGGCTGCTTTGGTATGGACAGTTTGGGAGGAAAGAAATAACAAAACTTTCAATGATAAAGAGAGGGATGAGGATTCTGTCTGGGAGTGCCTGCTAATCAGGGCCATTAATTGGGCTAAAGTATCAGAACTTATTTCACATTTCTCTTTAGCTGACTTGTGGAGAAACTGGGGAGTGGTTGCAAACTCCTCTTCTACTAAGAACAAACCGGTAATTGCTTGGAAGGCTCCTGAAGAAGGCTTTATCAAGATAAACTTTGATGGTAGCAGCCTTGGCAATCCTGGGGCTTCTGGCATTGGAGGTGTGTTTAGGAATGCAGAGGGTCTGGTTGTCGCCTTGTTTTCTGACCCAATCGGAATGGGTGATGCGGTTAATGCAGAAGTCCAAGCAGTTTTACAAGGGGCACAACTGGCAAAAGATTTAAACTTTACAAGTTTGGTCGCTGAAGGAGACTCTAAATTGGTAATTGGGTGGCTGAATGAACCGGAGACTGTAGCGTGGTCATATAGGAGGGCGATGAGAAGACTTAGGTAGCTAACCTCCAATTTAATAGTTACAGTTCAATGGGAAAGGAGATCAGCTAATGGGTTCATAGATCTTTTATCCAAGCAAGGGGTGCATAGGGATCATTTATTCTGGGCTCAGTTGTAATTTTGCTTTGTTTCTGAGGCAGCACCTCGCGCCTCTCTTTGGAAACTCTATCATGTACCTTATGTTGGCTCATATTATTTATTCTTAATAAATCACTTTATTTACTTATAAAAAAAGATATGTTTTAGTTCCTAAAAAAATTAGAGTTCTACCTACTAAAATCCCTTATTTACTACAGTAGAAAAGTTTGGACAACCTGTTTTGATATAAAAACTGTAAAAGAAAGAAGAAAAGAAAGAGAAGAAAAGGTTTCAGCTAAGAAAGAGAGAGAAAAGAGAGAAAGGAGAATGGGAGAAGCTCAAAATTATTGTAGAAGCTAGCTGGAAGGTCTATATACACCTCCTCCTACAAGTCCCCATTGAGAAAAGCATTCTTCACATCAAGTTGGAAGAGTGGCCAAGAGTATGTAGCTGCTAGTGATAGAAGAATCTAAACTGAACTCATCTTTGCCATTGGTGCAAAAGTTTCTATGTAATTTATGCCATAAGTCTTGAGTATATCCTTTTGCAACCAGCCTCGCCTTGTACTTCATTGTATAAACCCATCTGCATCCAACTCTCTCCTTGCCATTAGGCAAATCCACAATCTCCCATGTTTGATTTTTAATCAATGCTTTCATTTCCTCCTGCATAGTTGTCTTCCACTTAGGTTTGGAGAGAGCCTCACTAACACTCCTAGGTATAGACACAGAGTCAAGGGAGGAAAGGAAGGCTCGGTAGGAAGGGGATAATCCACTGTAAGAAAGATAGTGTGAGATGCAATGAGTAGTACACTTCCTCTTCCCTTTTCTAAGGGCAATAGGGAGACCAAGGTCATCTGCAGTGGTGTTAGGAGCAGGGGTAATAGTATCAATAGGAACTAAACCATCAGGGGAAACAAGAGGCATACCTGGGTCTGTGTCACTCAAACTTGGAATATCCAATGAGCCAATAGGGAGTGATGTGGGTTCCTCTACTGTGGAATCAACCTCCCTGTGTTGTCATAGGCACTGTCGTGTAAAACACTGAGAGACAGAACACAATGGAGGTGGCACAGTGGGTGAGATAGGTAGGTCAAACACTGGAGTAGACAAAGGAGCTGGAATAGGAAGTGGTATTGATTGCTCACTTCTCCAAAACACTCCCCCTGAGAAGAACCCCTAAGAAAAAAGGTGTGGACTCAAAAAAGGTGACATCCATAGTAACATATCGACTCTCGGAGACTGGATCGTAACAACAATACCCCTTCTAATTTCCTACATGCCCAAGGAGACACACTTCTTCGCCTTAGGATCCAACTTTAAGCGGTGAGGACCAAGAACATGGACAAAGCATACACATCCAAACCACCCTTAAAGGAATATGGAATGCCTCCCCCTTAGGAAAAAGAAAGCTGAACGGAGTGCTATATCGAAGAACATGAAAAGGCACCCGGTTAATCAAGAACACTGTTGTAAGAACTACATCACCCCAAAAACGAATTGGAATTATAAAGCTCAACATTATGCTTCTTGCTACTTCCACAATATGTTTGTTCTTCCTTTTTGCTACACCATTTTGTTGTGGAGTGTATGTACAACTGCTCTGATGGATAACTCCATGCTCCAATAGGTATGATGCTAGGTTTTTTTTTTGAAGTATTCCCTGGCATTGTCTGATGGATAACTCCATGCTCCAAGTCATCACCATGTAGTTCTCCTGTACCCAATGGGAATGGTTAGTTTCAGGTTTCTTTTCCTCATCGGTGATATACCCCAATTTTCCATGAGCACCAATTGCCATATTTGCAGATTGTGACCATTCTAAGTAGTTTGTACCATCCAACTTGATTGTAGTGATGATTCCGGCCCCGAAGAGGTCTTCAACACCTCCTTCCCTGGATCCCATTTCTCTTGTAAATTTGTTTTCAACTCCACAGCCCTCCATAACTCCCATAATAGATTAGAAAATCAATTTGAGATGAAAAGAAAGGTATGTATCTCCTTTAGAAACTTTAAACACCCTCTTGGAACCCTAGAAGCCCCTTCCTCCAAAGATTCCTTTTTTCTGTGAGAGTGGGAGAAGAGAGAGAAGAGGTTGTCACTCCCTCTAGAGACCTCCAAAAAGGCTGGGACTTGAACCTCTCCCTTCAAAAAACCTCAAGGAACCCTAGAAAACTAGAGCACCACTTCCTAGATTGAAGAGTCCTATTAAAACAAGACTGTCCCCCTTTCTCCAGTTCTTCCTGATTTGGGGGTAAAACCCTAGACCAGCTACAAGGGATTGCAATTCCACCAAAAAAAGTAATCCAGAAACTGGGCTTACCTGAAGTCTTTAATCAGCCCTTTGCCTTATCATGCAGTTGGCCGATCTAGGGCTGCATGATGGAGCAGCTCAAGAAATCTTTGAACTTGCTCTGATACCAAGTTGAAAAGTTTGGACAACCTATTTTGATATATAAAAACTGTAAAAGAAAGAAGAAAAGAAAAAGAAAAGGTTTCAGCTGAGGAGAGAGAAGAGAGATAGAAGAGAATGGGAGAAGCTTAGAATTAGGTCTGGCCACCCCTTTCATTAGATTATGTACTCATAAATAAAAGAGAGTACAAAGACAAGTATGCCCTTAGTAAGTCGGCTACTTGTTAGAAGTTAACTCTTAACTTAAAACATAAACTAATGGGCCTAAGGCCCAATAACTCACTAACTATGCTATGTAAATAAAAAACATGTTATTATCAGCCCAAAATCAACAACTACATTGGAGCTCCAAATTTGCCCTTCAGTTATGAATAATGCAGTCCATTTTATATCAAGTGATTCTTCTATTGAATAATATTCTTGTGCATGTGTTGGTGGTTGCAGGGTGTGTCCACCAGTACAATTCATTGAACTCTCAACCTGATGTCTTGAAATCATTGTATTCTGCTCTTCAACCATCAAGTTCTTTGGAAGAGTTAAGGTAGTGGTATGTTTTAATTTTATTGCAAATTCATAAATATATATGATTTATCTACTTGATGATTATAATATCAGTATTTGTTAAACTGTAATAAGTCAATAGTGGCATTAATACCATTGATGCAAAAGTTGAACTCCACTTCCAAATAAGCTATTTGATAGTGAAAAATATTACATCAATTTCTGTAAAGTATTTGAACATTTTGGTTCATCAGGTATCATGATGGTGGTCGACTCTCTGATCAACAAATGGCTTTGTTGCAATATCAACGGGAAAATCTTCATTACTTGAGTGAAGAGGTATATATTGCTTTAGAAACAATAATTAATTTAGGTTAGGTGGTACATCACATCATAATTAGCAATTCCTTGTAATGCTGCTACCTGATACTTTTTGTTTTCATTTTTTGGTCCAAAGATCTGATGAATTGTAAGCTGCACCAATTTAATTGGTTAATTTATAGCATCTAATTTACAATACGTTCTATCCCTAAAGATGATCTGAATGTTTAGACTGGTAATGTATGATCTTGAACCATGTTTCTTCAGATTCTTCGCCTACAAGAATGCTTAAGCAAGTATGAACGCTCTAATGATGGAAGCACACCACAGGTAATCTTCAGCTTGTAAAGTCTGTTGTTCAATTTTAGAAGCATGCATTATTCATTTGGTTCAGTTTGGAAGGTATTTTTTTAAATGGTTTTGGGAGGTGGGAAGGAGGGATCATCTATGGCATCTTATAGGAGCTAGCACAGCAAAGGAACTTAAAGTAGGAAGACAATGAAAAAGTTCCATTAGGTTCCGATACATAACCCAACTTAAAGTGTAAGGGTATAGATTTATAAAAGACCATGAACCCGGTTCAACCTGCCTAAACAAATGGCTAACCCACTTTATAAGGTAATTCAAGATAAGAGACCAGTGGCAAACAGCTGACAAATAACTGGCCACCACTTGTTGACATGGCAAGAAGATTCTAGAAAAGGACCTTTTAGGTTAAAGGAAAAAATATAAATGGGGGACCCATTTCTGATTGGGGCCCCAGATTTTGCTCTCACACCCAGACCCCAATCTCTCTCTCTTCACACACACACCCTATATATTATTGATTATATAGAGAAAAACAGGTTTACAATCCAGGGCTTAGTACCTGGAACCCCCCCCCCCATGGTATTATACAGCCTAGAACAAATGGTCCCTAGATATCCCTTGCTTGGCAAAGAAATCTGCACTGCCAAGCTATTTGCCAACCTTCTCACCCAAGAAAATGTTGCTTCAAACTCCCTGAATATGCTTTTAATCTCTCTTGGGCCTTGTCTATATGTCCATACTCATTGATTACCACCCTACAATCAAGATATTACTAGCTTTGAGTCCCCTTCTACCTCCACTCTTCTGAGTGTATGGAGAATTCAAATATTCCTGTATTTGTCAAGTAATATATAATGGATCATAGAGTCCTTATCACATAAATTCTTGGCACAGTTTGATCTGATTATTCAAAAAGTTGGATTTAGGCCCTAATAATCATGCTCAGACTGGCAATTGTATAACCAAATAGCTGTGGATGCCCCTAGTCCACAGCCCAAGCCCATGCTTTGACTATGGTACTTCAGCATTTTGTTTATATCCTGCAGTAATCAAATTGTTTCTAAAGCTTGGTGCTGGTAAATATATAGTTAAAATTCTTAACTAAGTAATGCTACATGTTTCTAATATGTACATCTCTTCATTTTTCTGATCTAATTTTAAATCCCTTTATTGTGGAACCATTTTGTCAACTATTTGATCCATGTTTAGAATGACCATTTGATGATATGGACCTTTTGTTCTGTACCCCCTTTATGTAGGTTGATCTTGCCCATCTATTAGCAGCTCGTGATCAGGAACTACGAGCACTATCTGCTGAGGTAATACATTGGCTATATGAATTGCATCCAATAACTCAATTCTCTTATGGTTTCCCTGTAGAACCTTCTCTTTCTGTCTTCATTTTCCAGATTCTAATCATATTGATCTAGTTACTGTTTATGTCCTTTCTTTGTGTCATTATCATTAGTATACCTTTTTTCCTTTTAGTTTACTGAGTTCCTATTCTCCTTTATTTAATCAAGTTTTTGTTTCTGGATGTTGATGCAGTCTTAGCCACATGTCTAAGATTATCCCTTGTAAGTGCGTTGTTTTTAAATTAAGGCATTAAACCTTGGATAACTAACATTATTCAGGAAAAGAAAATATCTTTGCAAATTACAAGGTGGAGTATAAGGTAACAAGAAAATAGGTATTATTGAAATCAGCACTGGCAACTATTTCTAAAACTTCTCCAAGAAACTGATGGTTTTCTAGAGTCTCAACACCTCTGAAGGGTCTGGCATTGACAGCAAAGAAATAAGGCAAAAGCAGGACTTTATTCCAAATCCCATAATCCTCTTCTACAATGGTATTATGGACCTTATATTGCCTTAAAGACTCCCATAGCACAACTCCTTATGTATGGATTGAATGATTTTGAAAGTGACTAAAGCTCCTGAGAAAACTTTTTGAGAATAGGATTTTTATCCATTACAAGTTTATGAAATTTTCTAAAGACAAACCTTTATAACCAATAGGAAACAAAATAAATCCTTGAACTGAAATTCTAACTTGAGAGCCTAGATACGATGAAAAGAGGGTGGAAATGCTACTCATTATCGTCCATGAATTGACTATAACTCGCTCAATTTTGTTTGAATAATGTGATCTTGGAGTTGTTGATAGGTAGTCAAACAACCTTCCTGGTGACACTAAAATCAATAACAAGCAAATTTTAAATCCCCCATCGTCAGATTTAGGTCCTAAGTAAAATTACAGATCAGGATGATTCTCTCTCCAATTTTGGATATCCCACATTAGGAAACATGTTCAGTATGATTATTAGAACTAATAAAATGCCTTATGAGTGAAAAGCACAATTATCTCTATATACAAGGGCATAGGCAATATACAAAGTTGTAATAATTAGCCTCATTAAGCTTATGAGTCATACTATAATACTTCTTTTTAAAAGGTAATGTATTAAACAAGAAATAAAAAGAGTACACAAGAAGTATACTATAAATAAAAAAGAGTATACAAGAAGTATACTATAAGATGCAGCCAAGGCTGCTTCAAATTACAAAAAGCTTTTCCAACAAAAAACCAGAAAAAAAAAAACACAACTTGGGCCAAGACTAAAGGAACCCCTGCGCCCTCAAATAGGGATTAGGCCTACAAAACAGCCAAAAGCAGGCCAATGCCCAAACAAACAAAGGAGCACACAACAAAACCTTACATATTAGCCAAGCAGAATCACAAAAACCAAGTGAAAACAATCACCCCAGAGAAGGCAAAAAAAGCCTGAACTACCTAACCCAGGAGTGCTAGCCTTACTCTTCCTCTCCTGCCTCTACCTTGGATGCTTCTGCCTCTCCCTTTAGGAGTTGATCTTTTCTTTTTGTGCCTACATGAGCCTCTCTAGCCCTTCTACTACCGGGAAGATAATCTGTCATGGAGCAATCCAAACAGAGGCTATCATGATCTGCCTTGGAGTCTAAGATAGAACTAGCAGCACAAGACAGAACTTGGTTCTTTGGCAAAACATTCTCCTTGGTCCACAGCCACTCTTGTATTTGAGCCTCTTGATCAACATCAAAACTCACCCCAAGGAAACTACCAAAACTCAACATATGCTCCACTCGATCCTCAGAGGCAATGGAAGTCATGGGACCAGCCTCTTATGCTACTTCAAGTCTCCCTTGACATGAAGGTACAACTTGGATTGCTGGATCTAAACTAAAAGGAGAAGTCTATGAGAGAAAAGGAACAATCTCAGAAGCAAGGAGAATGTCTGCAGCATCCTCCATATCTGCATCCGTAAGCTCCTCGGGCTCATTGGTGTATCGCCAAGCTTGCTCAGAGATGGGAGTACTCTGAATACCATGAGGCCTCTTAATGGCCTTTAGCCTTTGCCAAATAGAAGCTAGAGGGACTAAACTAGGGTCTTGAGACAAGTTTGGCTTGGAAGTGAGAAGCGGGGTAGATGCAGCACCTGTACAGAAAACAAAGGAGATAAATGCGATCGGGTCAATTTTCAGCATTGGAGTCGGATTCAGGTGGCAATCTGATCCAAGAGTCAACAAAATTGCTTGCAAAACAGAAAAAGATGGTGCCTGATCAAAAAATGAATCACGCATCAGAAGATAGGATGAAATAGGACAAGAAACTGAAACAATCTGAAGCTCAATCACCAAATGTTCAGGTGGAGTCAAATCGTCCATTGCCACAACAGTCACCTTGGTGCCACCACCACCAGTGAGAACAGAAGAGGGATGATGTTTCCTCCTCCTAGGTTGATGTCTCTGGTAATTTCTAAAAACACTATTAATGTGATCCATCATAGGAGAATGCTTGCAAAAATTGTGATTAAAGGCCACCCTAGAGTGATCAATGTTGAAAAAAGTATTTTCTAAATGTTATAACTCCTTGCCTTAAAGTGGGGTAGGAAAGGATCCCATTGAACTACAACCCCTGCATGGGTGAGCATGGCTGGCCTCTGAGATCTGCACCTCAACACCTTCCACTACTAAACGAAGAAGATAGTGAACCCCCCCTCCTAACTACCAACTCAGTGACTTTAGGAATGTTGTGGACTGCTTTGCTCCAAATCAGCATGTGAATGGACTCAACATTCTTCCAGGCGAAGCTCACTGGATCTGTAGAAATGAAACCCCCAACTGCATCACCGATCTCCTTGAAAATTGGACACCAGGCATCAAGAGGATTCTAGACCCTTGAATCCACTATCATTTGTAACCACTCTTCTGTCTTTAAGAACAACTAGTTGGTGACCACAGAGAGAGGCACGCTGCCCATTAACAGAAGAAATGCCAGAGTGCAGAGCACCATGGGCTTCCACCTCAGAAGAGAAGCAGAGGAACAATTTACCTATAGCTTCCTAACAATTGTTTTCTATGAAGTACACCAAGTTAGGAGGCCCACCTCTCGACCTCCACCACATCTGGGTAGCAACCAGAAAACTGGATCACCAAGCAATGGCGGAGAAATTCTTCTCGTTCCCAAAGTCCAACTTCTGAAACAAAAACCTTGTTCATGGTCCCTTGCACATGAATGGCAGCGCAACCAATCTCCAAAACACCTAATTCTGCCATGGTTCTAGGAAAGAAGACTGAGATGACTAAGAAATCAAACTACCATATTGAAAAACTATGATGGGAAAATCAATCATGGAAGTTACTCTTTGCTTAGGAGATTTGAAAAGTTTAGGGAGCAGAGGAGAGATCTCCACTTGGTATTTATTGATTTAGAAAGAGCATATGATCAGGTCCCTAGAGAAGCCATTTAGTGGGTTTTGGGAAAGAAAAGGAGTTTCAAGTAGATATATTAATATCATCAGGGATATGTGTGTCTTTACCAAAAAAAATCAGGGATATGTGTGGGCAATATACCCAGTGTGAGAACTCAAGAAGAGGAGATGATAGATTTTCTAATCACAATGGGTTTACACCAAGGATCTGCACTTAATTCATATCTTTTGGCATTAGTTATGGATAAATTGATGAGACATTTACAAGAGGAGGTCCCATGGTGTTTGTAGTTGCTAATAATATAGTATTGTTTGATAAGACCAAGGATGGGATGAATAAACTGGAATAAAATAAGGATGCTTTAGAATCAAATGATTTTAAATTGAGTGAAATTAAAGCAGAACAGGTTGCAACTTTAATAAAATGGAAAAACCAGGAACAGGACCAGTTCCAGGTCATTGCCTGGACTTGTTTTCAAAACATTGGTCTAAAGTAGGAGAAATCAGTCAAAATATCGATCATGTAGAGGACAACAGGGTTTAGTCCATCACCTCAGATGGTCTTTTCACTTGTGCTTCTTTTTTCAACTTCTTAGTTCAGCCTTCAACCTTGGGGGTAAATTTCCCGATGAAAGGAATTTGGAGTAAGCCAATCCCTCCTAAAATCCAGGAACTTTGTTGGGAAGTTTTCCTTGGAAAGATTAACACTTGTAATATGTTGCAGAAAAGAAGGGAAAATAAGTGCCTATCTCCTCACATGTGCTTTCTGTGCAAGAACAACGGTGAAACCATCTCCCATATCTTTTTATCCTGTCCTTCTGTACTTTGTATTTGGGAGCATCTTTATTCTCTCTTTGGGTGCAGGTGGACTCTTCCTCAGTATGTGGTGGATCTCTTTGACCCAAACTTCTTGAGAGAACCAAAGAAAAGGGGAAGAGTTACATGGAAAGCAGTGAGAGCTGCCATGTTATGGACTGTATAGGAAGAAAGGAATGGGAGGATTTTTAGTGAAAAGAGTAGAGCAGAAATGGAATTTTTTATTTGATGAAAATTAAAGTGGCACATGGGGTGAAGACCCTGGAGGATTTCCAAGGTTTATCAACAAATGACATTTTGAGAACTTGGAAGGAAGTGGCTTTATTGGCTCAAGCCAAGGAAAGAGTAAATATGGAATGGAGACCCCCATCAACCAACTTTGTGAAACTCAAATTTGCTGGGAGTTATATTGGTAGTCAGGTTGTGACTGGGCTGGGAGGGGCGTTCAGAGACATAGAAGGAAAGGTTTTAGCACTGTATTCAGGGCCATTAACAGATGGTAATGCACGGAAGCAGAACTGTGTGGATTACTCCATGGGTTAAAATTTGCTAGGCAATTCGGTTTCCACAACTTGGAGGTGGAAGGGGACTCTTAGGTGGTCATTTCATGGACAAGATGTAGCTCCCAATTCCCATCGGTCTATAGACATACTTTTCAGCAAATAGAAAGCATATCAAGGGAGCTGAATGTTGTTTTTAGAGAAGATCAGCAAATGGGATGGTGGATGTTTTGGCCAAACAAGGGACAGCAAGGCACCAAATGTTTTGGGCAAAATTATAAATTATAGGGTTTGTCTTTAAGGTAGAAAACTCCACCTATTTGTAATATTTGAACTCGATATTAATAAAATCATTTTTACTGATAAAAAAAATATATATTGATCATGTGGTTTCGTCCCCTCTTCTTTTCTGGCATGTTAATGATTGGGAGGATGATTCCTTGGTAACTCTTTTGTCTCACCCGAATAAATTCACCATTCAACTTTGGAAGGATACAAGATTCCAGCAGCTGATCAGAATAGTGTATTTTCTATCAAGTCTTTCTATGATTCACTCATCGGCCCAATGGTGGAATTCTTCCCAAGTTCCCATGGAAGTTGATATGGGAGGCCTGTGTTCCTAGAGTGTCCTTATGGAGAGCCCCTTGGATAAGATCTTGACAATCAAACATCTGGTTTCTAGGGGAAAAGTCTGGAGATCGAAAGCACCCTTTGTGACCAGGACCAGGGCTCAACTTTCCATCTATTCAACAACTCATAGAGAGCCGCCCTTATCTTTTCACAGCCATCAAGTGACTGGTAGCAGGGTTAAAATCCTATGGAATCTTCTCTGTTTCACCCTATATATGGGTGTATGGAAAGAGAAACAGCAAGATCTTTGACTGGAAAAAGGTCTTCATCTGAAATTATAACTGGAACAACTGAAAGATCCCTGGTTAGGTGGGCTTCAGGCTTCAGCATTAAATGATTTTGAAGGTTTTTTATTCCAACATGTCAGGCAAAATTCAGAAATTTGATTTCTCTTTTGATGTATAGAATTGATTTGTGTTGGATGTGCATGTTGACCATGGTTTCATTCAAACTAACCATGTATAACTTTTCGTATCTCTTAGGATTTTCCCCTTTTGGCTGTAGCATATCAGTATCAATCTTACTATATATTAAAAAAAGTCAATAGAGCTAAACTGATTGATGACTTTGTTTATTTTTGTGACACTGAGTTGTGTAAACATCAAGCTGTCTTGCATTGTGTGTATCTACATGCAAGTGTGTTGTGAAAACATTTGTTTCTCAAACATGTTCTGATGATACCAAATACGTTGGCAGATATTAAGATCCTTTTCTTGTTGCAGATGAATCAAGTGCAATCAGAGCTACTACTTGCTCGTAATCTGCTTGCTGAGAGGGATTCTGAGATCCAACAAATTCGCACCACCAACAATCAGGTATTGTTCTAAATATCAGTGCTCAAGGGTACGCAATATATCTGTTTTACTTATACCTCGGGGTTTTGGTCAAATACTAAAACTTCTGCTCAGGTTTCTTGTTAATGTACTCATGTCATCCCTTGTTTGGTATTGAGTTACTTGTCCCACCCACTCACTAACATGTTGTCTGCTTTAGTGAAGGAAAATGCTCAGGTGACATTTAAAACTTTTCAAAAGTCTATTTACCTATTTTTGGTACCTTGTATATTATATGAACAATAGTACCCTCGTTTGTATCTCTTGGAGGGACAAGCTTTTTCCATCATAGTGTTAAGGTGTGAATTAAAAATTCAATACTGGTTTGAGAAAAAATAAAACAAAACAAATTTTGATATAGTAGAACAGTAATTAGTGCTTATTAATTTTATAATATATGTTAGAAGCAAAACTAGTATTTTTTATAATTAAGGGCAATTTGGTAAAATATGTATTTCCAATCTTTTCCGTTAAGAAGCCCCCTGTAGTTTTGTGGTCTGAGGGGATACAAGTTGTTAAGTAAAGCTGAGAAGCAGTATAAGCATTTGACTGAAACTCTGTCATATGAACACCTTTTTATTCAATTAGTTCACTTCCTAGTTTTTTGTATCTTTTTCTTAGTATGCTCATTTGGTTTTCAAGATCTTTCTTTTTCTTTTGTTTTGGTTGAAAATGCTGTAACAGTATGTTGAGGAGAATGAAAGGCTTAGAGCTATTCTGGGTGAATGGAGTGCTCGAGCAGCAAAGGTACTAACTACTCGGTTATGAACTTATGATCGTTATTCTTCAATTATTCTAAGAGGTTACTTACAAATTGAATCCTCAATTCATTATTGCATGCCCTTAAATATGGTTTCCTCAAGCCATTTGGAAATGGATGTCAGATGGTTCAGTTGTGTATTATTAACAGTTGTTTTTTGCTATTTTATTATTAACAGCTTGAACGTGCATTAGAGGCAGAGCGAATGTCAAATTTGGATTTGCAAAAGAAGATATCAAAGCTAAGAGACCAACCAACTGAATCAACCAAAAATAGAGGTTAAGCACTTCGGGTTGAAGTAAACGAATCTGTTGTGCCTTTGTTTGTACAGTTCTCTTCTTTCTTTTCTTTCCCTCATTTTTCAGTGTTTAAAGAAACAAGAAATTCACACTAGCGTTCTCATAAATGGTAGAGAAATAGATGTAAAAATCATGAAATTATTTTCTTATTTGCAGAACATCAAAATTTCCATTTTTCCAACATAATTTGATACTTTATAAGTGGGTATATACGACCTTGTTCTGATCGATTCTCCATTTGAAGTCTTTCCTGGAGACAAATGGAGTAATGACTCTGATTTTCTAAATTGTAAAAGCTTGTGCATCTGGGATGCTGACTAAAGAACAATATAAATGGTTAATAATGCAGATTATTATCAATTAGGATAATAACGTCAAATGTGCAATCTTAATGTCCAATGTCAAAAAAAAATGATTTGGAAAGAACAATAATTCCAATCTTTGTAGTAACTTGATTGCTAGTCAAACTATGAGTTCATAGTTCATTCGATCCGTCAGTGAGGCCGATTATGTGTCATTGGCCTAACCAACTGAATTTATCATACAAATGTTTTTAAACAGCAGGCATGGTGTGTTGTTAGGCGTAGGCCATAAAGCACACTGAAAGCTGACGTGCTTGTCAGGTTTTGAGCTGACCCATTCCAAAGCAGGAAGCGCCCGATGTACTTATAGCAATTTGACTTGCAAGAGCTGTAACCCTAATTCCAGTATAATGCCAACGCTAATTCCAGTATGTTTCATTTTTTGTTTTTGTTTTGATCAATAACAGAAACTGTATTAAGAATTATGAAGCTTTAGTACAAAAAGGGGGAGATAGAGTCTCATCTCCCCATCAGAAAATTAAAATGAAAGATTAAAAATTAACCCAAAAAATAGCCTCCCTATTCACCCCTTGCTTGGCCAAACCCATCTGCAAAAGAATTAGTAGTCCTTTTCACCCAGCTCAACTGTATCTCAATGCCTTTACATAGCCATAAGAATTTTTTCTTTTTATTATTGTAACTCTACAAGCCACTGCTCTCTTTCTTCAACCAGCTAATCACCACCTTTGAATCACCTTCCAAAATCAGCTGACTGATATTTAGTTCCCTTGCCCTTTGAACCCCTTCCAAAGCTGCAAGGATCTCAGCCCTAATAGAGTCTCCTTCTCCAATAGGGCCTGAGAACAGAGCAATAACAATCCCTTCCTCATTCCTGAAAACTCCCCCAATCCCAGAGGGCATTGGATTCCAGTATGTTTCATGATCATGTTCGTGGGGTTGGTTTGAAGCAAAAAGTTTTCTTTCTGCATGAGCTCACCATCTAAGCCTCTTATCCTGCCTTGTCCGATACTGTCTTTGGTGTCATTTTAATCAATAAATAATCGGTATCATCACCAGACTTCAGTGAAGTTTAGAGAAAAAAGAGACTTCTTACATTAACAACTTGTGCATTCAAATGGTAGCTGAATCAGCGCTTATTTTTTTGGGGGGCCAAAACGAACTAGCTGAGCCAGTTGGCACCTTCACAGAGCTGCATTTCAATAAGCATTATTAGTGGACTATATTTTTAAACACGAGACAGCAACAGAAATTCTATTGAGAATTGTAGAGCTGGAAATGGAGCCTGTATACAAAAGCCTCGGGATCTTTTCATCTTGGTTTAGGGGGAGGGCAGTCGAGGCTTCCAAATACCAAATTCCAATCCCGCGGTTTAAGCTCTAAGAGGACGGATCCGTTGGGTCAAATAAAGGTTGTGTTGCTAAATGCTAATTAATAATTTGTTGGCAGGTAATAACATTCAAACCTCCAGAAAACAAAAACCCATTGCCCAATGCTGAATTGCTGACGGCGATTCCTTCGATCCATTCACTGTGCCATAGCTTGTGTAGGTCAGTTGGGAGCATGGTTTTAGCTTTTCAAACTTTAAGCCTTAGTTTTATGTTTTAACTCAATGGCAGTCTCATTAATGACTTGGTTTTGTTGGAGCATGAAGTAAACAAAATTCTCCATCATTTTAGTCCATGAACCTCAAATCTCAATGGATCGATCCTCTCGTTGTCCAATCACCTAATGGCTAATTTTTGAGCCAGTATGACAAACAAAGGCCTAAGCGGGTTATTATGTTGCTAGATATCTCGTGTCTCCGATAAAAAACTGGCAATCACTCCATGAGACTTCATCTATATTTATTTACGTGGATGAATTCAAGGCCCAACATGATCGATCCACTTGAAACTCAATTTTTAGTTCAACAGATCCTGCCTCTAAAAAAAATTGGGCGATTGGCGGTATAAATTATTCGGTAGGGTTAGAAACGGTGTGACATTACGTGAATCAACTAAACCCTACCTTGATGAATCCAGTTAGTCATTGCTTGATCCTCAGGGCAGTAAAGAACCACAATGCTGTTCTGTACAAAAATATTCCATTTATATTTACAAGGAAACAATTGAGGGAGCTTATATATCATAAAATATAAATAGGTAGGTGTATTAGGGTCAAATCCACCACCAAGCCCTACCGAAAAGCCCCTCTGCTTGACATGGTTGAGCCACGGTCATACATGCGTTGGATCTCTTCCCTGTACTCAGTCAAGTATTTATCTGGTATGGCTGGGGTCAGCTCCACTACATCCCCCATCTTCAGCTTGCGAGTTGCGTCATTCACAGGTTCATTGTTCAATCTAGGTCTCAGCTCTTCCTTAACGGAGAACCCATACGGGTTCCATTGCGAGCTTGCACGCCCGCCTCTCTCCAGCAGATCCATCACTGTTGAGTTTGCTGGAAACTCCTGCACAGACATCTGAAACACCCAAAGGTTTACATTCTTAGACTGAGCCTTCAATAAAAGATTTTGAGAAAAAAAATATACAATACCAGAAGCAGAATGAACCCGATTGGTAGAAAATTGAAAGCTAATTTTCCGAACTGTTCAATAAGTATGAATGTATGATAGTGGGCGATGTACCACCACCTCTAATGCACGGTCCTTGCTAAACCATATAGATGCAAGGAGCGGTAAGTTGGAAGCCTATCTCCATCCTCCGCATTAAATGATGTGCAAAGAAGTCCCAAACCAAAATTTTCGTAAACCCAATAAGAAGATCAAATTGAAAAAAAGCCACCACCCACCTTCTCGTTCTCCATCATGATGACAAAAATTGGGCCATCTTCTCCACAGTGAGGTGTATAGGAATATGGGCAATCGTTGGAATGACAAGGAAAGGGACAAGGGGGCCTGATGGAATTGGCATTCCCAATGGATGATGTCTGATCCTTCCCCAAAGTCTCGCATTGCCATGTTATTACCCACCGGGCCCACTCCACCATCTGAAGTACAAAGGCGGAGTGCTTACAGTCCCCTTCCTTGTACCGCCAATGAGAAGCAAATCCAAATTCTGCCTGCAAATGCATCTCCTTAGTTCGGATCTGGACTTCCAATGGAACCATATCTTCACCCATCACCACCGTGTGAAGAGATTGGTACCTGCAGAACAGAAGGGGAATTAACATATTGACAAAGGTTTAGCTGGCACAATGCTGCACTTTCCATGATTATCCCTAACATACATACCCATTGAATTTGGGATTGGCTATGTAGTCCTTGAGTTTTCCAGGTACTTGAGGCCATAAATCATGTACAATTCTTAATGCCGTGTAACAGTCTTCCTCATTCTCGAGGATCAAACGCAGCCCATGAATGTCATGGATTTCATCCATTGTTAGCTTCTTTCTGCAATGTATCTCAACCATCAACTTCCCAATTATACATCAAGTCATAGCTTCTATAATGTTAAAAGCATGTAACAATTGGAGAGAGAGAGAGAGAGAGAGAGAGAGTACTTTAGCATCTTGCAGTAAATGCTGTACAAGCTCTTGTGTCTCCCAGACAGAACATGATAAGGAACTGCTCCATCCTTCAGAGCTTGCTCCAATTTCTCTCTAGCTGAAGTGATCATTGCATCATCTAGGGACTTCACAAGTTTTGACGAGAGTTCTTTATGCTGATCTGGGTTGAGGTGCTTAAAACACAAGTTCTCCAGCTGCTCTTTCCAACTTGAGATCCCAAGACGGTTGGCTAAAGGAGCAAATATCTCCAGTGTTTCCTTTGCAAACCTTTGTTGCTTGGAGAAAGGAAGTGCTCCCAAGGTAATCATGTTATGCAGCCGGTCGGCCAATTTTATGAGAACAGCTCTAGCATCTGCCATTGCAAGAAACATGGTATGCAAACGATCTGCCTCAATAGTCTTACTTGCAGTATTGTTTTCACGTGCAAGCTTGCTCAACTGGCTTAGCTTTGATACCTACATAAATTAATCCAAGCATAAATACTTCAGATCTATTTAAAGGGGGAAGGATGAGCCAATAAAAAAAACAATACAGTTGACTTGTTTGGGAAAAAAACACTTACTGCTTGCATTATCTTTTTTTTTTTTACTTCCGTGTGAATAAGTAGCAAGCAAATATGAATTCAACCCATCAGTTACATTTTTCAACTTTCAAGCCATACACCATGAACAAATCAACTCTGACTCAACTTATCGAATGCTCAATAGAACTTCCCTGACCCATAACCATGGAAATAAGGTTTGACAAAGTTTGGGTCCATACAGGCCCAAAACCAAAATAGAAAAAGCCACTAGATTTTTTTTTTATTTGGGGATTCATAAACAAGCATATTGACTCATAGATCCGATATAATTGCGAAAACGCATTTCATGAACATTTTCAGAATATGCTCATTTTCTGCAAAGCGAAAGCAAAATACATGGTGGTCGTGGTATAGACAGTCCTAAAAGAAAGAAAGAAAAGATCGGTGCAATTCACTCACTAGTCCTGCCATGGGCAGTGTGGACAATAAAGAAACAATGGAAGCACTTCCCTGGTAATGGTAAATCACCCAGCCAAATCAAGTCCCAAGCAAAAGACAAACCTCTCCTCTTCGCGTTACCTATACATACCATACCTTGTACTGGAGATTTACCCTACCGGTACAAACCATCCAAACTAACAAACTTATACGCTGTGATCGTAAGAATATAGAAGCTTATTAAGCATATATAATATAATTTGTAATATTTTAAACTGTAAAATGACTCCACGTCAGTGCCATGCACTACATATAGAAGTTTTCTTCTTCCAAATTCTTACCACCATCTTGGAGCGAGAACTTAAGAAAGTACTCGCAATTCCCAAGAGCATATGCTCGATCTGATAGCATTTCATTACGTGTTGGATAAAATACTGGAAGTAGAAGGGAGGGAGATAAACAAAGGAAAGAAGGAAAAAATAGAACCACTGCTTCAGTTATAGCACTCATTGTTTGAAATCATTAACACTCAAATTACTAAGTAAACAACAGTTAAAACTACGATTGGTTTCCACAGACAATCAACACACTTAACTAGTTGAATTTAAAATCATGAAATAATAGCGAAAATAATCGCTCGATTACAGACTATGGTGAGAGAAAAAGAAGCCTACATACCCCTTCAACCAAATCAGCAACTCCAACGCCGAATGTCCGTAGAATATAATCGTAACTCATAAAAGAATCGTCAAGCGTGTCGTGCAGAAGGCCTGCTGCTACGACTGTGGAATTAGCACCAATTGTTGCAAGCAGAACTGCGGTTTCAACGCAATGCTGCAAATATGGATCCCCACTGGCCCGCATCTAGAAGAAAAACCCAAAGCTTCTCAACCCAATGGACAAAAATTCATACTAAAAATTTGGAAACGAAATTCATAGTCTAGTTACCTGCCCCCTGTGAGCTTTCTCCGCTTCATAAAATGCCTTAACAACAAGGTCATCGTAGAATATCTTATGCCTCAATTGCGCACCCAAAAGCAACTCTTTGGCATATGGTTCGCAACTCACCTCCGTGAAATTATCTTCCATGTTGAAGGTAAATTCGTCTACAACTGTGACAGAAGAATCTTCGTCAAGGCCACCGGGCATGGGAAAGCTAGGAGAGTCATAGTCGAGGCAAGAACCCAAGGCGTTCCGGACGAAGCCATTGAAGAGGCCATCCCTTCCGGCTCGATGCAAATCCAGGCTCCGGTCACGGGCAATCCTCATAGGTGGGCTTCTAGAAGAACCGACACCACCACTGCTACAGGAAACCGGGCCTTGAAATACGGATACAGGGCTCTGATCTCTACATTTGAGCGAAGAGCTGAGAGACGAGTAAGGCGAGTAACAGAAAGAGCTACTCAATTCCTCCCCTCTGTCGTGCCATAGAGCTCCCCCAAGATCATCTCCACCACCAGAGAAGCTTGACGATGAGGCATGCCGCACGGACGGTGAAGAAAATAGGCAGGAAAGCCCACCAACAATTGGCTTCTGCGCCGAAGAGGTCGACGAAGACGTTGAAGACGGAGGCCGAGGGTTCAATTCATAATCAGAAGAACCGTAGGAATTGATCGAACAAGGGTGCGGGGTCGAGCAGACGCTACTCGGCGGGCTCGCATAGAGCGCGATCGTGGGTACCGCCATGATCGACAACACAAAAAATAAAGTTCCCCTTTGCCCCCGCCTTTCCCGTTTATCAAAGGTCAAATTTCAGATCAGAATGTTAAAAGGTTTCCAGAATTCATATAAATCAGCCGGAACCCTAATTTAATTTCCGAGGATCCAAGCAAAGAACAGATCAAAAGAATAGAAAATGAAAATAAAAAACAAAAAACGAAATAAGAAACGGCGTAGAGAAAATTACAGAGATGTTTGAGGAGAAGAAATCGAGTAACAGTATGTACAGATTTATAGAGAATCGAAATGGAACTCTTTAACTAGTTAGACCTAGATAACAACGGTCCAATGAGAAAAATAGGAAACCCTAAAAGCCTCGAAAGCGAAATGTGTTGAAGAAAGGATCGAAACCCAAACCCTAATTTTCAGAGAAAGATAGTCAAAGACGCTTAGAAGACAAAGAGTGAGGGTTTCGTTGCTTCTTCTTTCTTCTTCTTCTATTGTTTCTTCTCTGATGATTGGAACGCTTGCTTCTTCTATATCCCTCTCTCCGCCCTTTTCTCGTCTCTTCTTGGCTCCCTCATTGCTTACCGGCCTGGCAAAGCAACAGTACAATTACAGAAATGTCCCCGACCGTCAACCGAAATAACGGGCAATACACCTGGATGCTTCCCAACATGGAACCGATTATTGTCCTTCGTGATTACCCTTTCTTTTTTCGGTTTTATTTGTTAAAAAATCTTCTTTCAAGTCATTTAGATATTAACTAAACTAGGAAAAATAAAAAATCATGCTTTATTTATTTGGAATTTTAGATAAGATCCAGTATTCCGTGTTTCTTCACGTAGGATATAACCCTATGTTAAAATGAGTCTTATGAAAACGGTTAATCGGGATGAGTTGATTCCGTTTCGTTTGAGCTGTGAGCAGATTCGTTGTAGCAAAAGCCAATTAGCCAAGGAGGCGAGGGTACATGGAACCGGACAATCGGTGCGGTGTAAAATGTTGAAGCAGTCAAATCCTGTCAAGAAGGGATGAACCGCTGGAGCCTAGAGGTGTCAAGTGGCCTTGGCTGGATTCGATTCGAAATGGATTTGCTTCAAGGAGGTGGAATGGAACGGAATCTGCCCAAATGACAAACGAAGGGACCCACGTGCCACGTACGATGATTTGAAGTGGCAAGTGGGCGCGTTATTGGAATCTATTTAAGTCCCATATCCTTGGCATGGATACCAATCGAATGGTTAAGATAATCCCTTGTAAGTAAGTTGCAATATAATCAATCCATCGTTTTTCTGTTAGGAAACGGCAATCAACAGAGGAGGGGCATTGTGGAAATATTTTCGAAATCATGTGGTCGTTGAGGAATTAGACGGGGGAAGGGGAATGAATATCTCTCAATGAGATGATGGAGACAACCTCCACTTCTCGAAACTCAAGTAATTTCCGGGGCACGTGGCTTGATGAAAGCAGCAACTGAAACACGTTTCGAGAACCGACACGGCACGTGTACTGAAAACGGCGAGCTTAACAGCGTCGGTTGTTTGGTTCAGGACAGTCCGAGTCGGAGCCGTCTTGGCACGTGTTTTTTGAGTGCCGCTATGTCTTTGTGGACACCATCTATCGTTAGGTGGTGGTAGTTCACTGACCTGAACATCCGCGAGTCAAGGCGCTTCGATGATGGGAAATCAGAATAATTTTCGGATTTATAGAACATTATTAGTGTCTATATAAGTAAGTAAAAGCTGCAGGCGGCCACAGTAGACTTTTTTAGGTGGATCCTTCATCCTTGGCTAGAGAGAGAGAGAGATTCCTCTCCTCTTCAGTCTTCACTAGAAGGCCAAAGGGGTATCTCTCAAGTCTCAAGTCACAACTCTCAACTCTACAGGTCAAAAAAACATGTAGAGATTACTGGGTCAAAGTTCAACTTGATTCAATTGACTGTAACTTATGAACAACGAGGGGGTTCCTTCCGTCGGGCTGTCGGCCTGTCTTGGGAGTGATATGGGCCCCCATATTTTTTCCTTCTTCAAATTAGGCCAAAATGTGAGCTTAAACTTTCTCGTTACCGGGGATCTGACCCCGCCTTCATCAAGGAAGTGCATGAAGTGCAGGATGAAGCAGTTCTTAAACCAAAAAAACGACAACTTTTCTGTAGTGTTTTCGAACCCTCGTTGATTTAGATGCTTGAACCATTCGACCTGGAAATCATTCAGAAATCTGTATTTTTAGAAAAAATTGTTGACTTGATCAGTGATTCGTTGATTTAACTAAACCATTCGGCCTGGAAACGACAACTTTAATTGTTTTCATTTTAATTTGAAACAGGCAGTCCATTTAAATCAAACAATCGAATCACTAACCTAAAAAGTAGTTTTGATTCCGAGTCGATTTTTAAAACATTATTTTTTACATGTACAATATACAATAGATACAAGATATATTTGAAAGAAAGTTGATGAAGGAAGATTTGGCCCGACCTCACAGATTACGGCACGTGGCAAAAAAGGCAAGTAGCTCGGCACTCAAGACAGCATACCGAGGGTACAAACGCCAAAGGGAAGGGACCAGCAGGCCCGAACTCTCTACTTAGAGCTCGAACTCCCTAGCAAGAGGCCCGAGCTCCCTACTTAGTGGTTGAACTCTCTGCAAGGTGCCCGGACTCCCTACTTAGTGATCGAACTCCCTGCAGGATGTCCGAACTCTCTACTTAGTGGTCAAACTCCCTGCGAGGAGCCCGAACTCTCCCTTTTGACTCCGAGTCACACAAAACAGAGACCCGAACTGGCCCGTCTTATGACAGTTCGGGGCCTCCCCTTATCCGAACTCGAGACTTTGCCTCACGCACCTCTCCAGGCACTTCGCTTCCGGAGCATTGAACTGGACGAACCGCGCCGTACCTGACACCGAAGGAGTCCGTATCCAGGGGCGACGCACCTGACTGACTTGGGATCTGACGCTTGACGGCCGCATTTCCAACGGCCACCTGCCACCGTCACCTGTCACCACTGCCTCCAGTTACAGAGACGGCTCCGACAAAAGGAGCAGTGACGGTTCTGTCCCAGCAGAGGCGATGACGCCCGAACTGGCAGAAGCACGGAAACACTCATTCTCGACCTGACAGGAGTCTAGAAGTGAGTGCGCGAGGTGGTTATAAAAGGCTCTCCACCCCCAAAGAGGAGGTATGCAAACTTTGCGCTATCTGGTTTATCTTGCCTTTGAAGGATTCTAACTTAAGCTTCGGAGCCTTTACACCGGGTACTCCCCGGAGCTTCTTCATCTCCTCCGTTTCAGATCCCCCGCTACTCGATTCAGAGGCAAGGTCATTGACAGCTAAGACCAGCCGGATTGCACATCATCAAAAGTGCTTATAATTTAGGAGGTATTTTTTTTACTTGAAATGCTTTAAATTGCTACTAACAAAGTTTTGTGTAGAAATAATAAGAAAATATTTAAATAACTATAATTTAATTGAATAGAATTGAAATAAAATTCATTCACTGATTGACGAGGCTTAGATGATGTATATTCCGGTATTTGGGCGGCGGCCATTTAACGAGTGGCTCAGCTCATTCCATTGCTCTCCTCCTCTTACATCCTTGGAGGCATGGTTTGTCTTCTCACTTTTGTGTGCCATAGGTCTAAGCTGTATTTGTCTTTATGTTGTTTTTCGATTCTTTAAATTTACTTTTTCAACTATTTAGATTTATTTCTCAATTAAGGCATCAAAAATAAAAAAAAAATGTGATTCATTTTCTCATGAAATATCATTTTAATCAGTAAATGCGGCCTTAATAAAATGAGGCATTCCCCGCATTCGGACAATGCATTTCTTATTGTTGAGCCTGTTAGCATATATGCATCAATTGGCTCAATGTGTAATATAGGCATTGTGCAAGTCACCGCGCGGCCTCATGTCATCGTCATAATCGTCCCACAACTATAGGCCACCTAAACACGGTCGGTGGCCTTTGTGGTAACAAAAAAGATTGACTTTCAGTATCCATAACATCTTTGTGTCATCTAATGGGAGTGTTCTATAATGAAAAATTGGTATGTGTGTGGACTAATTCATAGACTGGATAAGAAAAATCAAGAGACTGGTTTCGTTTTACCCTAAAATTGTTTTTTGACTAAAAACTATTGATTTGTTTAACGAATCATTGATCTGAACAATAGTTTTTGACCATTTTTTGTTTTTTAAGTTTTTTATTTTTCTGTTAGAGTGGCCCATTTATTCAAACCAAATAATCGGACTATTCAAACCCATGGTTTTTAAAATCGACCCAGTGGTCGAACCGGCCAGGGGTCCGGTTATCGAGTCAAACGGTTCGATCGTTCGAACCAAATGCTTGGCCTGTTTTGACAAAAAAATAAAAAATGGTCAAACCGTTTGAACGATTAACCGGCTAGTTCAGTGGAAAACGGGTATAGCAATGACCAATTTGAAAACCGGTCCTTGGAGGGAAATCCGATTCTTGGGAAAAACGAAATCGATCAGGTGACCAATTCTCAGTTTTTCTGATCTGACCCAGTTTTAAAAAGCAAGGTTCAACCTGAGAACCAGACCCAAAACGGTTATCTATCCGATCTGACTTTAGAAACCTTGATCACACGGGTGTAGCAAGGACCAATTTACACCGTATAGCGATAATTGCAATTCTTCTGAATTGTGAATAAATTATGTAGATTGAAACTGTTTTTCGGATGTAGTGTGGAAATGCGTGATATCGGCATTGGTGAAGGAATGTACAAGTCACTATGTGGCCTCATGTCATCATCATGGTCATCGCACAACCATAGGTAAAATGGATCCCTTTATCGTGTGTAAGCCTGTAAGGGCTGAACATGAGAAAGGTGCACATGAGGCCCGCTTGCTATCCCATAAAGAGCCTGCGGTTCCATGGATTGATTTGATCCTACGTATATGGAGAGGTGCCATGTGGTCCATCTTTTGATCATGGGTCATCGGAAGAGTAGAGATGCTATTTATATATATATATATATATATATATATATTTAAAAAGAAAAATATTTAAGAGATATTTTGGTGTTAAATATGAGATATGAGATATTTTTGAATTTAAGTTATTTTGAAACTTTTTATATGAAGCATATTCATCCCTTACCAATCTAAGGCATGAGGGAATAGCCTTTTCAGACCATTAGCAAAGTGCTTGAGATTACCACTTTGGTTCCACCTCTCCTCAAAGCATATTCCTCAACTCAAATCCTTTTAAAAACATGATTTGGATGTAGAAGCATCATATGTGAGGATTGGGAACTCACAACTTGTGATTGTGAGTAGAATGCACATTCAGTAGTAGAAAGTAAAAGGGAAAATTCTCGATCAGTACGACTTAAGTGACAATTTGGTTCTTGAACTTTAAAATGCGATAATTTAATATCTGAAGAGACTAGAATTTGGTAATGTTCAGTTTTTTGCCAACATTTGAATAGTTGATAAAGAGAATTTAGATGGCATTCGAATGACATTTTTGACTTTTCAAATGACACTTAACGGCAGATTAACAGACTGGTTAATGGT